CAAATAATTATTAAGATAGGACAAAGCAGAAAATCTAAATCAATATGATACAAAATGGGTCATATTATGTCAATGTCAAAGCATATGTGACAAAGTGATTTTATGTAGGTCTTCACCACGTTTGTTCGATTTGTGTTTGTACTAGTGGTTCCGTGAAATGTGGGATTTATAATATGAAGGAGTGTAAGGAGAATTCGAGTGTGCATGTTTGTGTGTGCTAATTATATGATAAACAGACAGTTATATGTGGTTGTTTGTGGATCTGAGTATTCTTCCTATTAGTTCATTCAAACAGTTGAAATAACGTTTACAGGTGTATAAAATCAGCTAACGAGAAAATAGAAGACGAACATGTCATTGTACAGCCAAAAAACTTACATTCACTTGGCTTTGTAATAGTGAGTTACATTAGGTGGCAATTATCCTCAGAGTTCTAATGAAAAACAGTGATCAAAACAGTGTTCAATCATATCCGATATATGACGTATATCATCAATCGCAATGAATGATATCTCAGATTTAAGAATGTAAGCTATTTGATTCATTCAAATTCAATGGTTTGAATGTTAAAATCTGGATTTTAGTGCTGAATCTTCCCAATTGAATCCATAGTTGAATTGTAGAAGCGTATTGCTAAGCAACTGTTTCATAGAACAAAACAACCACCCTCTATTTCGTTGTTTCATGAAGTGGTCAGCGTCAACAATTTGCACAATAAACCATGATCACCTGAAAATGCCTCTTTATAACTACATTGAGGAGAACTCGGTCCACCAATGATTTCACTAGATATTCATCAATATCTTTCGATAAACATAAGCCATATCGCCTACTAAGTATTATAGTTAATTAACAAATGAGGTGTGGCAATGAGTAGCCTATATCTCGATTGACGTCAGTTAGTTGATTGATTGAATCAAAATAAAATCGACCTTCCTATTTTATCTTCACAACATCGGATATTGATAATAATTACCAGTTGTGATCTTATAGAAACCATAAACTTTCTTCGTCACTGTGAACGACTTATTGATTATAAATCATGATGAAGACTTTGAAAAGCTCAATTGTCATCACTATCCAATACAGTATCATTAGCCTGTTTTCTTGATTTCAATGGCAAGCCCGAATTCATGGTCTCTTGTTTTGTAAATCTCTTCAAGCGCTTTTTCTGTACAAAACCACCACATTTCTGTTCACTACATAGTAGTTTGAAGTATTATCAAACCTTTTCACGATTCCTTTTGTATAACGAATGATTCAATGTTCTAATAACAAAATCTATCTTATTTGATTATACACACCGTCTGAGGTTTTATTTCTTAGTTTCAATTTACAGTATTATTTCTTCTTGTGTTATTTATATGGTCGCTTTTTAAATGCTTCTTTGAAAGACCATTTCATCTATAAATAGACCCCTTAGTTTATTTCCGATGTTCGTTAATCTTCTCTGATTGACACAGACGTCCAATGTTTTCTGATTTCGATTAAATATCGTTGTTTAGATAAGTAAAATATAGGGCACATATCTGTACAAACGACATATGGATTAACAACAAAAATCACTAGTTCTTATAGTGCATCTTTTTCTTTTGAGTTTCAGAAATATCAGGAATCAATACTGATACTAAGGAAAAGAATTTTTCTAATAGTTTACTTTAAGATCGTACAGGTTAATTCAATATCTTCTAGATAGTTGAAAAATAAATACATTGAAAAAACATGTTCAATGTTACTATGGATAGCATTTGTTATTGATTTAATCTCCTTGCTCAAATATCGAGTTGTTGTCAACCTGAAATCGACAGAAAGAATATCACTTCGTATTTGTTGGAGGGATTATTGAAATTTCTCGCAATAGACATGACAAGCTCAGGAAACATTATGAAGCATTTTATCCAATCAGCGTTCGACTAGAAGATTTGCTAGAAATATCACAAAAATAAAACGTCACATATAGAGTTTCCGGTTATCTGATTACTACACTGCAACTATGTTTAGTAGTATTCTCGAATTTCCAGGAAAATCCGAGGGCTTCTCAAATATTATAAAAACTCAATATCTTCTGTACATAAATGAACTTTTAGAGTTGTAGACCATCAATGTTGATGATCTATGTCGAGTGATTGGAGGCCTACACGAGTTAGACGGGAACGGTGTAACGAATAAGCTATCTTCGAAGTCACACCACGCGACCACCACCTTACATGGATTGCCTCATCGACGTATTAACGGATAATGGATGCTCTGTTGACCGTACAACACAAAGGACGTTATTACAAGAATATATTGGTTAAAGTAGATACAAGCGAAAGAAGAACCACTGCCGCATGGGCCAGTCCATGGCGTATGATTGACTGATGCGCGTTGATTGTCGTTGAACTTGATGGGGATCGATGATCTGTTCCATATTCAGTGACAGAAGATCAACTTAGCATCCGAGTACAGCGTTCAATCAGCCTGAAGCATCAGTATTTGACTGAAATGACTTGACTAGGACAGAGTTCGAATGACAATCTTAAAGAAATATGAGCATAACCACAGTGGATACTTTGTTAAAATGGAAAAGAATAGGAAACATTAGTAGAATAACTCATTCTTCATATGAACAACGATCAACGTGAACATGAAATGCGGAGCAATTTTTCAAAAACGGTTAGGTCTGAAAAACCTTATATACAATTCGCAATCAATATTCAACTCAGAATTAAATTACTAAATCAATGATGAGTGATTGGACTTAAAGTGAACTTGACCATTTGCTGCAGCTGAAATTCATTTCCAGAATGACCAATCAGGTCAAGTTCTGTGACAGGCATGGAATAATGACAATATGAAATTTCGATGAACAAGTAGACTAACATTTCCGTTTTTGTTCGCATCCTGACAACAGTAGTCCAAACGGTTCATTAGATGACGTTTTTCGAATATGCGTTTCACGTTAACGAAAACTCACTGCATCATTCTCAACAAACAGAGTGTGAAATGCACTTATCTCATATCCGTTCTGTGTAAGAATGTCTACTGATACAAACTGATCAAAATGCCATTTAGAAAGTAGGCGAACCGTCATGAAATCGACAGGCTTAAATCAAATAATAATAATAATAATAATAATAATAATAATAATAATAATGATATATTACTGCATTAGCAGGTACACGCCATTTTTACGGACATGATCTACAATTTACAACATAAACTGGTTCACAGTATGCATCCTGATGATGCAACGGATATTCTAGTTTTACAACTAGATACCAATAGCACCTTCTAAATTCGATTGTTCCCAGTCAGATAGAAATCAGAAGTCAGACGAGAAGAGGCAGGAAAGATATATTTGATTCGTTACCAATATATCGAGGACCTTTTCTATGAGCTGGCTAATGAAACGTAGGAGCTGTGTCCCACGCCGAGTCGAAACGTGATCTGGTGCGGATGCATGACCGAAAGCCTTCAGCTAAACAAGTCCACTTAAACAACGTGGTCAGCATCCAATGTCGAACACTTAATGAGCTATTGATTTTGGGGAATTATTTACAGCTACAGATCACTCCCCCCCTAGTGAGGTAGTGATGCCCCGAAGATGTGACCAGCCAGAAGTTTAAAGCCAACGAGTTTGTCGTTGGTAAACACTCTTCTGATAGCTTGCTTCGTTTAGCAGCGTCTGGTCGTCTTTCCTTAAACTATGGGACCAAAATGTACAACGTAGCAATAAAGAAATATAGTACAATGAAAATTTCTGTTCCTTGCGAAACTTCGTCGTTCTTTTCCAGCCGTCCTGGAAAAGAGGAAAAATAAAACATGTGAGTGCATGTCAAAACTACACTCGTACTTGCGTAAGGACACAAGATGAGCGGAAAAAAATAAACTGATACACTTACAAACAGCGTAAAAGCGATCGGAAAAAAGGTTTTCTTTTGGGTTTTTTTTTCAATATATAAATATATAAATATATACGCTCAAAAAAATGTTTTTTTTGTTTTTTTTTACATGAATAAAAAAATGAGCATATTAAAAAAATTTATGATAAACTTTGAAAGGGTAATTCAAGATAAAGCTTATGTCCTACGCGCAATATTCGTTAAGATGTTCTGGAAATCTTACTCGTCTTCCAGAACGCGTTGTTTTAGGTTTTTCTATCGACGTTGACGAAGTATCAAGTTGTGTGTCGGTTGTCGTGTAGGGTACTACGAGTGTAGTAGCTGTGTCGTTTGCTTGTACCGAAGGAAAATCGACGTAGCTAGGGTTTCCTTCTAGGTACGCAGCTTTGAGTCGATCGATACTGATGCTATCTTTCGTACCGTTCTTATCGACTACATAGTACTTAGGTTCGCGTTGAAGAACTTTGAAGGGTCCTTCATATGCTGATTCGAGGGGTCGTCGATGTGAGTCTCGACGAACGAAGACGTGTGTACTATGTCGTAATTCGGGTTGAACGAAAACATCAGTTGATTGAGGTCGAGTGTGAGCAGGTTTAACTGAACGCATAGCGTTTGTAAGCTAACAATCATTTATATGAAATCGAATAATTACTGGAGAAATGTATCATCATTTATATCATCTCATTAAAAGCCAACTAATCGCACTCACACTAGGCATACTGATATTCTCAGTTTACTTTCCATGAATGTTCCATCCAATCTGTATAGATATTCTTGTCAACTTCGGTCAAGTGTTATTAACTATCTCTCCATCATGATATGTGGCGATAACTTGTGAGATGAATATCACCGTCTATTGAAATGAAATGAGATTGTGAATATTTGACAGGATGCTGCACTCAGGATATTCCACAGTGAACATTCTGAACAGTCGATCGTCACTACATGAAATAAAACTCAACAGAATATGACTCTTTCCGTATAGTACGCAAACATTCACAGCCAGTTACTATTTGGCACAAACAGGTTATTGTTTCTTGTGAAAGAACTTTACTTCTGATTATTCACTGTTCATACCACTTGCTTGATTAGTGTCACTAGAGGATTGATAATAGTGTCAACTAGTCGCTTGCCTATTACACAATGTTGATCTCTTCTATCGTGTTCAGTGTAACTAGATTAATTTGACAATATTGATCAACATGAAATAGTAGAATGATGTGAATTACTTGAAACAATATCACATTTTCACTAAATTATGCAACTCACGTTATCATAATAGAAGGATACCTTCCCATTTGGGTGTAATAAAGTCGACATTGTGGCTGTAACCTCTACAGTAAGAAGAATATTGATACTCAGATTTTAGGATTTAAACGATGAGCAAGTAATTGTTTGATGTAACACTGTGAACAGATGTGTTATCTGAAATGCTTTCTTCAGATTTATTGGTAATAAATACATTGAAGTGAACGTCATTGAAATGAGATGGACATGAATCTCTTCCAACAAATGTCAAATGCCTAGATTCTGAAGTTGTATTACTATTATCGAAACAATAAATCGTCTACTTTACCATCAGGGATCTGATAGTCAAGGATGTAATAACATGCGCACAATATCCTAAATAATTCAATTTGAAACAATGGACACTCAGTACGCATGACATGATCTTAGGAGTGTTTGTCTACATATTGAACTTGAGAAATAAATTGGTGGTATATATATAAAGATTTCTATCGGTTAACTGATTCTGACTTCAGTGTCCATTTGTTGTAGATGAGAAACGAATAGCTTTAGATAACGATTTCTGAGTTTGCAAGGTTAATATTTGGGAATGACTATGCGATGAAAGGATGTGTAAATGAATATTATGTGTGTAGCAATGACTTTGTCACCAATGTAGAACACAATTCATTTATTTTGGAACACAGACTGTTTATCAAGTTCCACTTAAATCCGAAATGATAATAAATCTCTGCATTCATTTTTCAACAAGCAGAATGAGATTGTGACTTCAATTATCCATGATGACTTATTTATTGCCTATCAAATCCAGTCATTCACAGTTCATTTCAACTGTTCCAAATGTTTCAATGGATGTACTCAATTAGTGAGTGAATTTCACATTCAATTATATCATCGTTTGCCAGAATAGAAGCACCTTCATTCTTTTGTTAGTATTTTGGAAGGTTGGATTTGTTTAAAATGAACAGACAATGTATCAGTAATCACAGTTACTGAAGATGTAAGTGTAAAAGTTTCAAGCGTGTGATCGAACAACCAATCAGTGTTTACTCACCTGAACCATTAACGTTTATCAAAAAATTCCTTTGGACTCCTAATAATTCCTCTGAAATAATGAAAATCAAAAGGGGTGTTTAAATATCTGAATAATGATCATCTATTTCTTTCAATAAATATACTTTTTAACACGGACTGCCGACTTGTACAAGTTGTCGTCTCCATTTACAGGTTTAAATGAATCCGATTAGTTAAATGATAAATCATCTCTCATGAAAAAGGTCCAAGGAATATTATCGATTCAACAATATGATGAAAGTTTTAACACAATCAACTTAGAAGAATATTTCACTCCTTTAAAATTTCTTCTAGAAGCTTCGACAATACAACAACAAAGTGCTTTTTGGATCCCTTTATTCATCAATTCTTACGTTTGACCGAAATAAATGAATGTCACATTGATGTTTTAAGTGTTCTGGTATGAGTAAATCATCTTGTACTAGCGGACTGTTCACGGACGTTCATTGGTCAGCTGTTTCACGAAATGCATGGATTCGAAATGCATAATCATACAAATACGATCACAAAAATAGTCTTGAATAATCGAATAATAACACACAGCAACTCCGAGACATTAAACATTCAAGAATCAAGTAAGTGCTATAAAAGGTCTAGAGGACTTCAAATATGACTTGATTATTCATAAGCTTCAATAATCCAAAACACCTTCTCTCACAACATGGCTTACCATTCCACAAGTGATCACTTTTATTCACTCAGTCTACCAAGAAGTATCGTGTAGATGAGATATCTTCTGTTTTGTAGTTTTCATAGACTGGAGGGTTGGTAATCTACACTTTCGCAATTATATCACATGGTTTATCATTTCTATTCGATGAAAGTGTATATTTTTAGGTAGATCTCTGTTCAATTTAACGGTTTCACTTTACAGCATTCAACACCTGCTGCGATACACACACGTTATGTTGCATAAACAACACAAACACAAAAATCACTTTGTATTGGTTGCTACTCCTGTAATCATCAGGATAAATACTGAAGCTTTTATACAAAATAAGTGTGAGAAGAGTGATCAAAACAAAGAATAACTGAATAATATAAGAACTCACCATCATTCAAAAGTTTGGTTTCCAAATTTTTATAGTTTACTATGTAATTATAAATATTTCCAATTAAAGACCCTCCAACTTCATATACATCATTTCGATCTATTGGATGGAAACAGTCCACATCATTGATAAATTTGTAGTGAATGAATAAACAATTTTAAATAATAAAACTGAACTGTATTTGGTTTGCTATAAGGAGTCAAACCATTACCATGTTGAACAATGAAAAAATTCATTGAAAAAAGTTTTTCATGTTACAAGGAGCACAAAACTGATTCACTGAAGAAAATGGAATCAACTTTGATTCGTTAAAAAAAATTGGATCAACAAAACTCAATAATAATTTGACTTCAAAGAAACTTTATGACTTACCATGGTAAAAATCAAAATGTTGTACGTGTTTACCGTAAAAACTAGACGAGAATTCAGGACGAGTCGTCTAAAATGTTGAAAACATATGGACAAATATTTTTATTATAAAGTGTATTCAACTCACGTATACTAAATTTATCTTATAAAAACGTTCACTCGAAACTGGTTGAGGTTTATTATGTTGAATCCTCATTGAATACTCATAATGTAGAGACTGGAATATGTGTATTAGAATGTATCTGATTACTTACATATCTATACGTATCATTTTCAATAACGACAATCTCATGGTTAACCAATTCAGGGTTTTTGCAAATCTCATTGAGGTTGATACGTTTGTTGGGCCAAACTAAGATCACATAAACTAGTATCCATATACTAGGCAAAAAGTTATATCTAAAATAATCCAGATGATTAAAACTACGGTATCTCATTGAATTGAAATTCAATTTCAGTACTTTTGTTCATTCAACACTTACCTCATCTTATCGCGTCAAGTTATAATTCAAATTTTCATAGAATTTCTCCGGTTTATATAGACTTTTGAAGTGTAAAGTTGTTCTCTTCTAATTCGATGATTCAAAGTAACCATTAGAAAGATCGAATTTAATAAAATCAGATGTTCATTATAAACCAATCCTGGAGGTATATGACATTTTCGTTAACCAATAATCTTCTGGCTGTTGAAATCATGTGCTGAAATTTATTCACTGTTGGTTGAATCTCCTGACCCCTGTACATAAAACTTCTCTTCGATGTGATAGACGATATTCTGAAATGGGTGATTGGTTAAATTATAGTTTAAAATGTCTGGTCATATGTTTACGAACAAACAGTTTGTTGTCTGTAATCATGTATTGATTATTCGTCGACGATGAGTTGTTTTGATTTGATTGGCTAAAATCAAAGTAGCACAAATTGTTTTGATTGGATGGTAACAAATACTCTTTTACATATGGATTTTGTTACAATAAGCACATTTTGTTAAACGATTTCACCGTCGTTTTTTTTAATAAAATTTCATAACTTCTGAACAATGTCACATCCATTCTATTTGTGTACCACATTATAACCCTGACTGTCAATAGATGTCCAGATCAAAAAGGATAATGATTTTCCTATTGAGTACATTGAAATAGAATCAACTGTGCTCAATTTCATAGATTGAGTTTCCAAATCATTGCAATCAGAGGAAAATAATGCATTCCCCCGAAATTGAACTGTTGAAAATGGAGAGAACGATTTCTTATACCAGACATTTTTGAAACTATAATATTGATCATTGTATCTGAAAACTAAAATGTTTATCAATCTGTGTGTATTTCAATGTTCTATTCCCTCACATCAATTGAGCTTGTATTTTATATCATCTGTGTTCAAAAATAGAAAAAAATCACAGTGATAAGATAATGTCAAGTGTATACTTCACTTACACTAAACACTGAATACTGACGAATGAATAAAATTCCACACATTCATAACTGAATAATAATTTTGATGAAATAAGTCAGGAATGTTTGTTTTTGCGTGATACTTAAAAATAGTTTTCCTCCTGACATATTAGGGGTGTATTGTTTTACTTTAGACAGATATGAACACTAATCAAAATGTCGTTACCTTTGACAATCACTGTTTGTTGTCGAATAATAAGACTGTTTGGGTAATTGCGTGAATTCATCAACATCAAAATTGTTTTCAGTGGTGCATTGTCAATTCAATGCCGTTGACCAATATCTAATTATTGGAAAAAACGTCATCTCACCATGTGATAGTGTAGATCAGTTATTCTGCTTGAGAAGAGTATGATTCAGATCATGAAGTATTTAGTGGAGTGTCTCCCTATACCGTCATGTGTATTTCGCATAGTATTATTAGTAAATGTGTTGCAAGTATTAAGTATGTTTCACAACATAAAGAGGCTACATGCTTTTAAGGTTATGCGACATGAGATCTTACATTTTGCCAGGTCTTGTATATAACCTCTTATTCTTCAATCTTCTTCATAATCCTTTTACAAGGTTTAAAAATAAAGTGTTTGCTTTATTGTGAGAAGTACAGAGAGCAGTTGACAAGGAGTGTGGTGAACCTCTTGAAGTCATCAGTAAAATGACAATGAATAGACTTCTAATGTCTGGCCAAAACCTGAAAGGTAATTTCCTAATAATAACCATCAATTTCGTTCACATATTTTTCCTCGTATACCTTCCTTTATAGGCTGTAGAAATGTATTTATAGATGATGCTATAGTGTTCTGTGGTGAAACAGATTAGTTTTATAAAATTATCAAAAGATCATGAAACTCATCGAAGAGAGTCTCAATGGAGAAGTAAGAAACGGACTGGAATTGACTTTGCGGATTCGGTTGCTCCAGGTAGGGAAAAAAATTCGATTTATTCTCCATCCTCAAGAGCCAGACGAATGTATTGTATTCCGAGCTGTTCACTGTAGCAGGAACCTAATCAGTACAGTCTCAATGATAATTCAAGCCTGGTGACACGAATTAATTCATTCACCGGAATATGCACTGAAGGCAAAACAGATGATAAGCTATATAAAACGCATAAAACGTTTTCCGAGAATGACACTAAAGCTATGTTAATTGACAGTGCCAAACAGAGAAACAGTGAAGTGCGATTTCAGTTTCGTAAGGCCTACCAACGATTGTACGTTCCGTTGCTTGTTTGTATTTCGTTTTCTCTATTTCTATTAACGGAACAATCACCTTTAACATCTCTTTATCATTAGACAACACAAAGTCTTTGACAGCTCATAAGTATATTTGCAGTGATTGAGAAGATGACTCCGATCAAAAGGAACATACTGTCTTCGATGAACAGTAAATGTCTAACCAGAAAAGAACGCCTGCCTCTTTCATCCTCTCAAAACTATCCACACTGAGTAAAGTTGCTTGACGATTCAGTCACGAATGTGTGTTTCAATATCACGTATAACCATCACAACTACTATTTGGCATCTTCCAATTTAATATACGTTGCCACGTAAGAAAAATATTTTTCTAAAAGTAAAAATAATGATAAGAATAGTTTCTATGATGTGATAGTGTGATCTGTCTGTTAACCTTGACCGTTGTTTTTGTTGTTGTTCAAATATCATTCATTTTAATTCTGCGTTGTTTATCACCACATTTCATTTATGATATGACATTTTCTTTTGTACAATGAGCATGATATGAGCCTTCATTTCAATGAGGGATGCCACTCTCTACTAACACATTCATATGACTGATCATCTTTGACACATATAAAACGAAAAAATGAATTAAATTATCGTTTTACATATGACTAATACTTTTGTCATGACGAAATGAAGTTAAAACAGATGGTTTGTTAATCAATTCGTACAAGTTCTTGATTCAGTTATGAGTAAACATTGTAATCATCCACCGTCACATTTCACGTGAGTCTAGTAATACTGGTCGTATAGGATTATCTTGATTTCAAATCTTCAGTTTATTAATCTATGGAACTATGAATAACAATCACGGTGCTTTTAGATTCGTTTAAATAATACGTCCCATAATTATTGACTTTGAGACCGTGATCATTCATCTTGTTGACAATGTCCATATCTCATTATGTGTCACCTTCTATATCAATCACTAAGATAGATTAACTCAAAGTTAATCAATATTGTGGATAGAAATATTTTACTGTTCATCAAATACATAATAATATATTATGAAAATAATAATAATTACAGAATTCACACCGGTTTACAGGCATGATCAATTTGATAAAAATAACAACATTTGATGTAAAGAAACTCCGCCTGTAGCTCTTCTAGTGCTACTGCCGGTCACAAGCCCGGGTAAAGGAGGAGGGTTGGGCATGGGGTTAGCGACTGTATCCCGTAGAAAATCTAACTCGCTAAAAAAACGCTAACCAGAAAAAATAATTCAAACCATTTAAACTTTGCCCTCCAAGTTGAAGGAATAATTATGACGTCTCATGATGAAAGCCGAAATTCTTCGGAAGTCACGAGACCGATGCACCTTCTAACAACCAGAGCAACACTTTATAGGTACATGGAACGTCCGGACAATGTGGGAGACAGGAAAGACCAGCCAAATAGCAATGGAATTGAGGAGATACAACTTGACAGTACTCGGAATCAGCGAAACCCATTGGACACAAACTAGACAACAAAGGCTAGGTGCAGGAGAGATGCTGCCGTACTCCGGTCACGAAGGGGGAAATGCTCCACACACTCAGGGAGTTGCTCTAATGCTGTCCAAAGAAGCACGAAATGCACTTGTGGGATGGGAATCTCATGGACCCAGGATAATCAAAGCATCATTCAGAACAAAGAAGCAAGGGATAACAATGAATGTTATCCAATGTTATGCACCCATCAATGATAGCAACGACGATGATAAAGAACAGTTCTATGAAAGGCTGCAATCAATTATAGCAAAGTGCTCAAGAAAGGATTTCATCATCCTTATAGGAGATCTAAATGCTAAAGTTGGAGTAGACAACACAGGATATGAAGATATAATTGGACGACATGGACTAGGAGAGAGAAATTAAAATGGGGAGAGACTTGCAAATCTATGTGCATTCAACAAATTGGTTATAGGTGGCACAATATTCCCACACAAACGCATACACAAAGCTACATGGATCTCACCGCACCACACCACAGAGAACCAGATTGATCACATCTGTATCAACAAAAAATTCTGAAGATCAATGTAAGATGTGAGAACCCGGAGAGGAGCTGACATAGCTTCAGATCACCACTGGCTGGTTGTGGCCAAGATGAGACCGAAGCTTAAAAAACACTGGAAAACTGGACAAACAGCACTACAAAGGTTCAATACAGCCTTCCTTCGAGATACTGACAAGCTCCATGAATTCAAGATAACTCTCAACAACAGGTTCCAACCTCTACAGGATCTACTGAAAGAACAAGAAATTACTTTGGAGGACAACTGGAAAGGGATAAAAGAAGCACTAACTTCAACGTGTCAGGCGGTTCATGGTCCTAAGAAGCATCGTCACAAAAAAATGGATCTCTATGGGAACCCTGGACAAAATTCAAGAAAGGAAGAACAAGAAACTAGCAATTAACAACAGCCGAACACGAGCAGAGAAAGTCAAAGCAAAAGCAGACTACGCAGAAGCAAACAGGGAAGTGAAGAAAAGCATTAAAGCCGACAAGCAGAAATACATGGGAGAACTAGCAACGACGGCGGAAACAGCTGCAAGAAAAGGTAATATGAAACAACTATATGACACAACGAAGAAATTGGCAGGGAGACATAGCAAACCAGAGAGACCAGTAAAGGACAAAGAAGGAAAGACAATCACTGAGATTCAAGAACAGAGGAAAAGATGGGCAGAATACTTCGACGAACTGCTGAATAGACCAGCCCCATTGAATCCACCGAACATCGAAGTAGCACACACAGACCTTCCTATATCTGTCACTCCACCAACGATCGAAGAAGTCAAGATGGCC